CCCCAAAACCCCAAAACCCCAAAACCCCAGAATGCTAAGATATTAGATTTTAGGCAAAAATTTTATAGTGTAAAATTATTGCATAAATCCCTCAGTATTTATTATTACTTATTAAATATAACAGCAAAATGAAACTGCAAAACCAAGTTTATGCAAATAATCAAGAAAAATCTACTGATGAAATGTTTCAAGACATTCAGAGATAAAATAAGGAAATTGATGACAAATTCATGAGTGTCAAGGAAGAATTGAGTATTCTAAAACATTCGTCTCACATTCTAATTGAATAATATTTCAGCAAAATCTCCTAAAAGCTTGATTTTAAACAAATAATCAAGGAAGATATACCTGAACTCCAAGAATTACTTAAATATAGTAAAAAGGATCCTATCAAACTAGAAAAACTCTTCAATGGCAAAGCGAATCAAATTAACTTTAAAATTTCAGATGCAAATATTGCAATGCAAGTTAAAGTTGAACTGGAAAATAGAATTAAAGACATTTAAATGAAAGTATTAGCTCCACTATAAGTCCAGCCATAATTTTAAGATATCAAGCCATAGATTATCCAATAATAGTAAATCAAACCTCTGTAAAAGAACATTGAATTAGTTAAATAGGAAAATTAAGAGAAAGAAAAAAATGTAGAAAAAATGTATTTTGAGATTTCATCAAGCGAAGAACCTAGCTTAAAAAAAGAATCAATAGAAATCAAATTGAGACCCGCTGAAGAAATTAAGCAGTAAAACTCTCATAAATAAATGAATAACAATCGCAAACTAAAACGGTAAGTACTTTCAGATTCAAGCAGATTGAGCTTTAGTGATTAAGAATTCAGTGATGAAGCTTCAGTAAAAAAGAGAGGGGCTAAATAAATTGAAAAAAGAAATCTCAGAAGTCAAGTGAAAGACTAGTCTGACTTTTAGCTTAAATTAGTTTTCACTCCTAAAAATGTTATATTAGAAGGATTAGATGAGAACTGCTTCAATTACAGCTTGTTCTTCTTTGAAAACTACAACACCATAAGATATTTGACATTTGATGTTGATTGGAGTAAAGGCGTTATTGGATAAATTTTTGATAACAATTATAAAAAACACAGAGATACATTTGGAATCATAGACCACTAATTCACTCAAGCACAATCGCTTCAATAAATGAGACTTCAATTGGCTTTTGGAATCGACTAATCTTTTATTGAACCCACTCTTTACAAATAAGATAACTCAAATCCAGATTAGATCGATAATTTTATCAATTTGGAAGAAGACGAAGAAACAGATATTGATCATAGCCGCCATCATAGATCCTTTTATTCAATAGAGGTCTTTAAAAATGAAATTTTCATTATTGGGGGCAGCTCAACTAATAACCATCTCCTGAATTATGAAATGTCATACGATATTATACTAAAGGATCTATAGGACTTGGAAGTAAAGTATTAGCCTCATGACCTCTCAGGTTTAAATTTCCCTAGAACTGGCCATAGTTCTTTTATAGTAGATGATTATCTTTTTGTCATTTTTGGTTAGTCTCAAACAGAATGTGAATACATCAAATTGTCAGTTAAACCTGAGGACAGGAAATTTGAAAAAATTAAAATTGAATTTGATACTGATTATGAAGAATTCGAGAAAGCTATTGTATTTAAAGAGAATAATAATCCTTAATCTGAAATTATCTATTTCATTGGTGGAAGCTTTAAGCAAAGGCGTTCAGGAAATAATATATTACAGCTTAATTAAATTAAGGTAATCTGGGACTAAAATGTCAAACCTTAAGGTATTGAAGTATGCAAAGTACAAGGCGTTTAGGATTTCCAGTATAAGCCACCCAAAGATCATTAAAAAAAATGCTTAGAGTTTTCTTAAAGATTGAAGTCTAAATTGTACAACAAGGACTTAAATATTTGGTATTTTATTGATGATGAGTAGCAATTAATCATTTATGATGTTGGCAAAAAGAAATTTCACTAAAAATGCTGTAAGGTTAAGAATGGCTTTTGATAAATTTTGGAATTTGTTTTTTATAAACGTGATAATTTTGATTTTATATCCAAAACATTAAAATTCCTAAAAATTTTGAAAGTAGGGGTTTTGGGGTTTTGGGG